AAAGATCATAACTGATCTAACTCGGAGACGAGAGGAGGAACCATCTTCTCATCATCAGCTTCACATGTGAGGAACTTAACTGGATCCACTATCTCAACACTTTTATGAGCCTCAGTAGCTTTAATCAAATAGCGTCAGTTTACAGTCACATAAAGAGAAAATTAAACCCATAACTCACACACCGACACACTTGAAGCCTGGAAGTCAACACACGCACACTTTCACACCACAAAGTACGATTCAACATTTGATTATGCTTTAATAGAAGCTTTAGCTTTCGTGCAGGAAATGTTCTGCAGAGTCCACAACAAGGGGGGGGGGGCTCCACATGCTGGGACTGGGTAGAATCCTCAAGCCTCTTTTGGAGCACTAATCTGAAAATCCTTTTACCATCCTGGGGACCATTAGCAGAATCAGTCTCTCAGGAGAAACAGCAAATGAGTTAGTGAGCGAGGAAAATATAAAAACCGCAGCTGAACGGTTGCCAGTTGTTTCTTACAATTCACAGATGTTTGGTGGCATCTAAATTAAAGGCCATTTCCCCAGTAGCTTGATGTGGAAGGAAAACTTCCAGTTGAGATCCGACAGAACGCAGGAAGTGCCAAATCCGGTCGCCAAAAAGGCCTCAGCGAGATTAAAAGCAAACAAATGTATTTTTCCCTGGAGCTGAATAAGTCCTCAAGATGGGCTGGTTTCAGAAGGCTCTGAGTTTTCTCATCCTGTTCTCTTCCGTCTTCTTGAAAAGATGCCACATGAAATTACTAAGGTATTGTCAATATTAGTTTTGTAATTAAGGGAGCGCACTAAAGAATGTTGTATGACATAGGTACATCCTGTCGGCTGCGTCTACCTCTACTTGACACTGAAGAAAATGTGTATGTTGGCAATTCTTTACAAAGCAAGAGTTTTGACAGTAGAAAGGTCTGGAACGTTAAACTAATTGATCAAAAACAAATCTTTCTCTTGCCCTTTCTGAAAACCTTCACGTCGGGTGTTTTTGTTCTTTAAAAAATAGAAAGAGAATCTGGCAGCAGGGGTCTGGTCTCCTGTCAGCTCTTGGCAGCAGTGCTGACCCTTAAAAGACGTGAACAATGAACTCTTAACCTTTCTGTTTGACCGTCTCCAATGAAGCCGCAGAGCGTATCCCCAACTCTAACAAAAACACCTTCCAGGTATCTATGCAGCCATTTAAGAGGCTGCAGTTTGTGACGCTCATAAACTTCATTGTGGTGTTGAACCCTGAGGGGTGTTCCTGATATTACTTCTACCTTAATTGGTATTATTGTGAAGAAACTATGATTATATCATTGTACAGTGTATAAAATCATCACACTATGTCCTGCATTGACCCAGAAAGTTGTTGCGCATAAATAACTGACGCAGAAAATCAGCTGAATAATTCAACCTACATGTAAGAAGCTCCTCATATGGCAGAGTGCAGTAAGGATTTGATGGCAGCTAAACGGGCTCAGTGAACAAGTTCATACATAGACAGTCATTAGCCTTCATCACAGGAGCAGCACAAGGCCGAGTCAGAACCCAACCTCCGTACTTTGGAGGTTTGTCACCCCCCCTTTATGTACGATCTGAGCCTATTTTAATTTTTAATTTCTGAGACACATCATCGGTGGTCCATGAGTTTCTTACACAGCTATCTTCAGGGTTTCCCACAGATGAAGCATTTTCATGAGTCGATGCCCCAAACTCAAAATGTCCAAATCATAAAAGTGAAATCAAGACATGGTGACACGACACGTGACAAAGACAGAAAACATGGAGCCCAGGCTGCTCGAGCATCCAATTAACCAATCAAACATCCAATCAACCATCCAGTCATCCAACCAGGGTTTATTTTCAAAGTTTCAATCATCTAATCATCGTCCGGAGGGCACATAAATCATGAGCATGATTTCTAGAATCAAAGTACATGTTGAACCAGAAGTAAGCAACAGAAAGACAGGAAGCTTGGGGCAGGCAGGTAAATACAGTGAGCGATATTGAAAAAGGAACGCAAACCAAACAGCTGATAGTAAAAAGCAATAATCAGTGAGACACAAGTTAAAGTCCTGGGCCTGCTGGTGTTCAGGATGAAGTAAAGTGTGCAAGAAGACAAGTGGTAAACAAGAGCTCGCTGCGCAGGCAGAGGAACAGGTGTTAGGGGACAGCGGCATCATTTTCTTTTTTTAATTTACATTTGCATCTTATAAATATTGGATCGATGAATAGTTTCCTCCATCTGGTGTGAGCTGTGGGCTGTTGCATCTGTACGTGGATGTTCTCTTCATTCCTGTATGCGCTGAGCAATCCGTGCGTTCATTTGACTGACGGACTGAATGACTAAGTGACTGTGGGAAGCGTTTAGAAAGCAGAGAGGGTGAAAATGGTCTTTCATTAAAAATGTTCTGTAAGTGGCACCTCTCTGACGATCCACTTCTTAGTGTACACTAAAAATAGAGGAGAAGAGAAAGACTTGGAGATTAGGAAATGAACGATGAGTGGAGTCGTCACTCGACCATTATATTTCCCCCTTTTCATGGAACGTTCTCGTCCTGCCAGAAGACATTTCTGTCCCCGTTAATGTTGGTTGATTAGCGTATGAGGTTTGACGAGACAAGGAGAAGAAAGCCTCTTTTTGGAGCCTCCTTCTGAGCTTCAAGTGTTTGAAGCGTCACCCCTTACTTTGACTCTTGTTTAGACAGAGAATCCTTTCTCATTTGACAAGATCAGTTTGTATCGTGGAGACGAGCTCAAAATTTAATATCCGTGTTAAATGCATGCTTCTGAAGGCATTTGCAGATTAGTCTTCCGAGATCTTTCACAGGACTGTCTGTTGCGCCTATTAAAACGATCCGCAACTACCGCGGCTTTTGTGTGCGAGAGGGAATGAATCAGCCTTGTGATAGAAGCAAAAGAGTAATTAAAATGAGCTAATAGACCTTATTAGCTATTTATCAGCTGCAATTGCATTCAAAGTTTCCCTGGAGGCACCAGTGATCCTCCCAAACAGGAAAAGTCTTTGAAACAGGTAACGCGGCGTCGTACTGAATACCAATTAGTGCCCGACTGCTCGGCTTTACGCGGCTCATCCATGCGAATCATTTCCATGGCCGGCTAATTCGGCAAAACTGCTGCGGGAGGGGGACGGGGAGCGCCACAGGGAGAATGTCACGAGTATTCGGGAAAGGTTAGACAGAGAGGAGCGTGTGTTGCTATCATACCCACCATTCATCATCACCTTTATACCACACAGTCACAAAGGGCCTCTGTATTGACAGAGGTGTGTGTGGTGTGTGTGTGTGTGTGTTGTGTGGTGTGTGTAGGTATCAGGGTGGAATGGTTTGAATTGATTAATGAGTATGTGCCTTTTGTTGACAGTGAATTTGTGTTGTCAGCTTGACAAATGACAAACTGTAGAAACACGTCACGATTTGATCCACCATTAGCATGATTGTTAATCTTAACCAACCTGCTCTGAAAGCCTGAGTGTAAAAGGGACAAATGTGGATAAAACAAAATCTGAGATACAAATGATCTTTTTAGAGACGTTTGCAGGGAGAAGAGTTTTTTTTACATTTGGACAGAACCAGACGAGCTGTTCAACTCTTCTGTGGAGCTGTGGCTCAGGAGGTAAAGTCTTAATCTGAATTTAGCCCAATTCATCATTTATGCTAAGCTAAAACTAGCTCACCACCATCAGCTTGTTGCATCGTCATATAAACATACAGGCATGAGAGGGGAAGTATATCACTTCATGTTATTCTATGCCAAGGGGGGAATAAGAGTGTGATGAGCATCGACTACATGTCAGTGGATGGCTCGGGAAAGAACACCATAAATAATCTCAACGTATATACAACCAACCAACACACCAGCCATCAGACCAACCAACCAACTACCCCACCAGTCGAACACCCATCAAATCATCAAACCAACCAATCATCCATCTAACCGACCAACAAATAATCCTATGGTCAAACCAAACCACCATTCAGTTGTTCAACTGTCCAAGAAAAACCAACTTGTCACAAAACACAACTGAGTGTGTTTTGTGAACAATAACAGGAGTTACCATGCAAATAATATTCAAACCAAGTACTCTCAAGTATCCTTTTTAAATATGTGATTGATTTGAAGTATTGGAAAATACAGACAGACAGGCAGCATTAGCCAATTCTGTAAACTTTGCCCCTGCGGACTGAGTAAATACATTTGCCTGCCACAGATTTCTGTGTCACAAAAAATGATCCTCTGAACCACAGCAACATGCAGAATATTATTGGTTTAAGCCTTTATTCATAATTTTTTTTGTAATTTTCATTCTTTAAAAAAGTGTGATTATCCAATAAGCTGTGGATACTCATGCTGTGTGGATTTGTGGAAAATGAGAGAAGTATTTCAGACCAGAACCAAAGACGTGCAGCGTTGGTGAGAAGACAACGACGGCTCTCGAGGTCTGACGACTAATCTTCGCTCCTCAAACATAAAGAGGCAATTCTCTGTGTTAATGAGCTCAATCACTCTCCCTAAAAGCTTCAATAATTCATCTGCTTCCAGAACGTCAGACATCCATAATGAATTCCATCCACAGTGAATTATTTACACAGTCATACTTCGTAAGACAACTTACTGACTGACACTGAGTCACCCAGTGTGTCTGATGTGTGTGAGTGTGAGTGTGTGTGTGTGTGTGTGTGTGTCTCATTTGGCACCACAGTGGGCTCCCAGCTAAGATGTAGTAGTGCCATGCTGTGTGAAGAAGAACAGTGCAAAGACTAATTGGAGCAGTTTAACGTGTACAACCAGCTCCCCCATCAGCACAAAGCCAGGATAGACACACACACACACAGGAAAAAATTCAAGACAAACCTGAAGAAAGAAATCAGCGCACAATCAAATATGTGATTGAAGTGTGCACAAAAATTTACAAAGTTCATGTTTCACAAGAGGTTAGTTATATTATTGGAAAATACAGACAGGCAGCATTAGCCAATTCTGTAAACTTTGCCCCTAAGGACTGAGTAAATAAATTTGCCTGCCACAGATTTCTGTGTCGCAGAAAAAGAAAAATCAGATCCAATGACCATGGCCTCAATAGGAACTTTGATTTGGATGTTCTCACTAGCAGGTAATAGATATCTATCTATCTATCTATCTATCTATCTATCTATCTATCTATCTAATCCCACATTTCTTTCTTAGTGAAATGGAGAATACCTCCAAAGTACAACCATTTGTCTTCTTGTGGCTAAAAATATAAAAAGTTCGATCAGAATAAGTGTCCAGGAAATCAATGTAAGTCGATGTAACTTCCTCTGAAGTCAAACATCTGTGTTTGCAGCCGTGTCGGTTTCTGAACCTCCACTTGACTTTGATAACTGCACCTCGCAATCTCAGCTCTTGGATCGTCTATCCTTGGATTTGAAGGTGAACTGTGAACGTTGCTTTAACATCTTTAAAACCAGCAGAAGGAAATACTTGCTTTATTGTTAACACTATCAGAAGGGAAACAAAACAAGTGTGCTGTCTCTTACTGACCGACAGGAGGTAGCAGAGTGCGGTGAAAACCTGCTGTCAACATGGACTTCTCAGCAGACTGCTGCACTCCTGCTCTCCATGAGGAATCTGACGGGTTTACTGCACCAACACCAGCTGAAAGGTCAGAGGGTGTGTGTGTGTGTGTGTGTGTGGACATGTGAGGGGAAACTTATTTGATTGCACTTTTCAGATCGAATCCATTTCTCAAAAAAGGCTTTTTCAGATAATTCATAAAGCTGCCCTCAGGAGGGCGCTGTAGAGCTGCTACAAAACAAAGAACATTCAGATCCTCAGAACAATAACTTTGTTTTTTTAATATAGATTTTATTTTATTTACTGTGATGGTTTTTTTTAACCAACCCATGAAGCTGAAGGCAAATATCCACATCTGTTGAAAATAAAGATCAATATGTTTCCCGTGCATGTGTTTCCAGATTTCATCAAAATGACATGTAACAAGTGAAATGTGTAATTACAACATAAAGTCTGTTCACTGATGTGTAGAATGTCAACATGCTGAGCCAAAGAAATGTCCCGCGGCCAAGGTCCCTCAGAATGGAGGATTGGTTTGTGTCACTGTTGACAACAAGCGCTACTGCAAACCGTTGTGCAACTCCGTGAGTCATATGTGCAGTTTGATATATCTACTGAATGGTTACGTACATCTATACAACACGGTTCTGCACAAACAGGGAAAGGGATGAGTGATATAACCTGACTCTTCTATCACAGGGTTATGATTTTGCTTTCCTGAGGAGGTCTTGTTTGTTTGATGAATGCAGTCAGCAGACAGGATATAAATGGAACACTCAGTACATCGGAGGAAACACACTGGCTGTGTGCAATGGTAACAGCTTTTAATCACTATTTGCTGATTTCAAAGTCAAAGCTGTAATTGGTTTACACATCTAATTTACAAAGATCCAGCCTCCTTCAAATGATCTTATAATAAGTTCTTATATTAAGTCTTAAACTGTCTGATGTTGTGAAGATGAACTTGACGTACTGTCCCTCCTTCTCTAGGGGCGTTGACTCAAATTTCTGGAGCACAGTCGGCATATTTTCCAGAAGATCGTGACTGCCTGATGACCAAGAGTCAAATGCAGGACAGCGTCATCGCAACCGCTGTCGCTGAGCTGCGGAGCAAAGGAATACAGGGAGATCCAGAGAATGCCTGTTTTGTATGTGGGTAACCATGATGTGTAAAACAAATAAAAAAATAAAATAAAATATTGGGAGCTTTGGGGTTTAAAGGGTCCACTGAGCTGAAATAAAGCTTTGGAAGTTGTGAAAAAATCTGTGTGAAAAGATTAAAAGCGGATCAGGTGGTGCATGTGGTTTCAGTGATATAAACGAAAACCTGTGCCACCCTGAAGTCTGACCTCAGGCTGGCACAGCAGACACAGTAATGTCCGTCATGTCATCAGCTGTATCAGGGCCGCAGCCTGTCGAGTCTTAAGAGGGAGACACGGTCACTTGATTAAAGACGATTTACCTGCACAAACAAACTGCATCTCTGCATCTACACTTATAAGAGAAGGAAGAACACACCGGCACGTGTCTCACTGCTGCCTCCTCTGCTCTGAGTCTGACTTCATTTTACTAACAGCCACTCACTATTAATGTGAGAGACTATTAGTAAAATGATCCCGATGGAGAGATTTGGATGAGTGCCGCAGTTAAAATGAGGTTAACCACTCCGCCCTGTCTGCTCTCTCAGCTTTTGCCGACGCATCCAGATGTTGCTCGCTGAGGTCAAGGGTCAAGGTTAAAAAGTCAGAATGAGAACGCAGGTTCTCATTAGGCAGCCATTGACATTCCACTCATTGCATTAGGAATCACTCCAATCTGAGAGAAACTGACCCGCAGGACGACCCATCTCGTTTAGACGAAACATCAATTACTGAGATACCTCAGTGGACCGAGGGATTAATGGTGATACTCGGTAATGTCAAACGTCTCCCATTAGATGGCAGCAGACAAGCTTCTAATAATAATTCACCAAAATAAGTGGGTATCATCACTTTTATTCAATGTTTGTCTTTAATATTATTATAATCATGTACCTCTCTCCATGTTGTTTTAATTGTACAGCACATTGGGCAACACTGGTGTAAATGTGTTTAATAATTAAACCTGACTAAACAGGATTTTATTAAACTCAGTGTATTAGTTGAGTGTGTGGACTTTTCATGTGATCAGTGTTTCCTTTCATTTTTACTGTCAATACATTGTTTTCTATCCTAAAAGTCCAACAAACGTGAGTCAGGACTCATGTATATGTATATTTGTTTATCTATGTTTACATACTGTTCAGTGCCGTTTAAGAGCCCCAGTGATTGTATTGTTACTCTTTGTACAACAGAGGGCAGTATAGATCCACTTTTGAATGTTCTCTTTATATCCAACTACTAAAATACACAGACACACAAACGTTCACTTTGCTTTGTAAGTGTTTATGTTTAACTATTGCACAAATAAATAAAATGCAAAGTATGATATTTCACATTTCAACTGTTAAAACATCCATTTCAAGATATGTGTATATGTATTTTGGGCTTGAGAGTAAAAGAGAAGGAGAAGATTTAACTGAAATGTTGTTGTAGTTTACAACAGGGTACATAACTTTAAAGATTAACATGTCAGTGTCGACTGACTAAAGTCAGAGTGAAACTTGCTGTTGAAACTTCTAAAGACTTCAATAGAAAAGCAAACAGTCCTCTCAAGGACGAAACCTATATTTTTAATCCAGTGGGTTTAGTTAAGAATGTCACAGTTTGCTCCTTCCTGTCCTCTTTCTTACTTATGTATGTTCTTTTAACCGAAGAGACAATGAGTGAATGGGTGTTAACGATGCTCTAACGCTGCTCAGCTCTTTGGCTGCTCTCCAGCTTCTGCAAACAATGAAAAGATAAACTGAGAGAGAGGCGACAAAGAAACACTAAAGACTGAGGTTTGGACATGAATGAGTTTTGAACTTTTGTTACCTATGGAAAAATTACAAAAAAGAAAAATAACTCTGTGCTCCACCTGAGCTGCTTTTGTCTGACGAATCCTGCAAATAAATGACTGTGTCATGTCTGAACTAAACTTGAACTTAAGACTTCACACAGACACTTACGGTCTGAAGGAACTGGATTTCTGAGCTGAGCGTCTCTCGCAGAAGCTCCAGCTCTCCGTTTTTATGCCTCTCCAGCTCCTGCCTGAGTCTGGTGAACAAATGACACCAGCTTCAGTTACGGAAACTTTTGGACGAAGAAAACGAATCACAGAACTTCAGCTTTTTCCCTCCTATATTTTCCTTCCTCTCCTTTCTCCTATGGTGTGTGTATCACTGTGTTTTAGGGCCTTGCTATTATGATCTCTGAGAAAATAAACAAAACTAAAGGAAGCTCAAGTGTATTTTTAACTTTAGTATTCCTGCGTATGACACAAAACGCCCAGGCATGCAAAAGACGTACATTTCTACAGTTGAGTTAATATCCAGAGTAGAAGCCAAAATTCATACTTTGTCCGTGTTGGTGATTATTTATTTAAGCAACAGATGTTTGTGTTGTTATTATATCTTCTGGGTAATGGGTGGTTTTTTTTTTTTAACATTTTCAATTGTTTGGCAGGTTGGACAAGATAAAGACGAGTTTTGGTGTAGTGATATTTTCTCACTGTCACATTTTTCTTTAAAGTCGTATTTAAATAAAGGTCACAAATCGGATTTGGACTCATGGATCTTTTTGAACACGTACACATCTATACAAGCAACCGTCACCACTCGCTGGAACCAAATTCCTTGTTAGTGCAAACTCACCTGGAGCAAATCGACCTGATTCTGATTGTAATTAACATGCAGCAGTGACCCTATAACAATCTCTCCTCCAGAAAACCTAATGATAATGCATTTTCAATTACCTGGATTATATATTTAGTTTGTTTTTAAAGAATCTGTACAATATATCAGACAATGCCATAAACAACAACACAGGGAAATGTGAGACTGCTGATCCTCAGTCTGCTCTTATGGCAGCAAAGTAAACATTTCACACTATAATTTCATAAACATGCATGAATTGTGTTTCTCTGCTCAGTTTCCCTCTGGAAAAACCATCGGTCTTGGGTCCATGCTACTTGATGCCTCGTCTGTGATTTAACTGTTATGGCAGGTGTGTGTGTGTGTGTGTGTGTGTGTGTGTGTGTCTGTGCAAAATATCAATCTAAGTCATGCAACCTCTTTCTTTATTTTATTGAAAGTTAATGAAAGCACCCAAACTTAAACTGTATTTTCACAGTCTGAAAACAGACAGCGGTGTTTTAAACTTTACTTCTCACTGCGGAGCTTACTGATCGGATTTTTAAGGTGCGTTTAGTCAGAGGAAAGACGCTTGTAGCAGTTCAGATGCTCGCTTGTTATTTTGGATATTGTTATTCTCTGGTAGGGTTATTATAGCGGTGAAAAGGTTATTTGTAACAAAACACAAGACAGTTAAAACTAAAAACCACGATAAACAATGCAACACGAACCAAAACCCAACGTAACTGCAGCTAAAAATTAAATTTGCCTGAAGATGTGGGTGAGGGACGAGTTCCAGAGAGAAGCAACATCTGATCTGGGGCCACACCAACATTTGATGGGTTCTTCTTCTGCAAACTAACAGACAAACAACTTATGTACGAAAAACAAAACATTAAATCTACATAATAATAAAAACGAATGAAACATATTCTCTAAAAACTCCGTTCTCTGCAGGTTTTAGTAGATTTTTGCACTGCTATGGCATCTTTCAATGAGCCTTCACTAACTGTGTAGCAGTGATATATCAATGAATACTACAAATCAAACTCCTAAATCATCAATCAATCCCGAGCACATGGACTGAATATTTAAAGGTATCTCTCTATTGTGTGGAAGTGAATGATCCGCAACAGTGACCGCCCCCGCTCTGCACACTGAACACTTTTTAAATGACTGAAGCACTCATTCAAATTGACGTGCATTCAATTTCCAGCGATCAATAAGCGGAGAGTTAAAATATGTATTTTAAAGAGACGCTGCTGAGGACGGGATTGATGGTTTCAGTTCAGAATGGATGATCATAAGAATGAGTGAGCGAGCGAGGAGGGGGTGCGGAGGGGCTCTCTCATTCCAAAGCCACATCCTCAGCACTTCCTGAGGCTAATAAGCCCAGAGTAATGAAAGACCTGGTATGTTTAATGAGGCTGACGGATGAACAAGACATGTTACCCACATGCATGATTTAAGACACGACTGGGAGACGGAGGAGGGACTTGGAGAAAGGCAGAGCATGAAGAGGGGGGTGAAGGAAAGAGAAAAATAAATGAATAATATAAGGAAAACCATGCAGCTGAGCCATGATTGACTATTTTGTATCTTGACGTAACAGCAGATATGATGAGGACATATTTAATTAAATACTGGGAAATATGAATAAATAAATGAATGTTATATTTTTGATTTAAAAACGTTATAGCCTAAATAGGTCTGGCAGAAGACATTATCCAAAGTGGTGGCATCAGCAATAACAATGACCCTTCCTTCCTGGAACACTATTGATCTCCAGTCTTCAATTTAATAAAGGAAGTCTCTTTGTGAGGAAACAATATGGGTCAGCGTTCACCTACCAGACGTGTTCCAATAGAGCAGAGCCTCAATTAATATCCTACTTTAGTTAATATTCTGCTGTGATGAGCAGACATACAGCAACAGCACTTGTGAAGACATGTGGGACACATGAGCATTTACACACAGGCTAAAT